TATAATATTTTTATATTTATTATAAACATAGTAAAAAAATTAAAAATTGATTGTCACATAATAAAGACTATAATCAATACTTGAATAAAAATAAAGATGATTTCTTGTATAAAAAATAAAAGTCACTTATAAAAATTCATAAATAATAAAATTAAGATCACCTGAAAAAAATTTAATACAATTACAAAGACTAAACAATTAAAATAAAAAAAATTATAAAGTGGGTAAAAGTTAAAAAATATATGTATAATTTTTAGAATATATAAATATAAGTATACATATAATATATTTAAAAAAAATTGAGGTTGCACCCATGCCACCAACCCTCGCCACTGTCTAGCTCCACCCATGAAGATGTGGAATTCAAAAAAGGTGATTTGTAGTTTTGATATACGCTATCTCATTCTTAAAGTAATATACATGAAACAAATGTATATACCAACTAAAATAATTAAATATCCATGAAACATCGATTGCGAAAAAAAGTGATATAAAATATCTAAATTTCATCTGTCCTACTAATACTAAATTAAAACCTAACTTAGAAAAAATTAGCCCCAAAAATTTGGGGTTGAAGATCAAGAAGTCTAAATTAAGGCCCAAGTTGAATATTAATTGGTATAGTTTAATGATGAAAGCTCATATACAACTAATTTGATTGTTTATTGTTGGTGAGTCAAACCTGTAAATTTGGATCTAATTACTTTTCCATTTCTTTTTTAAGCTGATGTGTCACATTTTGACTGGTTGGGCGAAACCCAATGGGACCCATTTGACTTTGGCAACTTGCCATTTGTCATTGACTCATAAGCTAAAGTCCAAATTAATCACGTGGGACAAAACCCAAAACAAAATGGCCGAGAAATAGCAAAATAGGAGTTCAAATAGTCAAAATGGTTATTTTTTTTATTGGGGAAATCGTACTTTGTACCCCAAAAGATTTACAAATTCTCACTTTAGACATTTAAACACATTTTTTTTTATATATTTTACCCTCAATATATTAAGAGCAATGCTGTAGAGATCCAATTTGAGGACTTAATTAGGAAGCTAATTTGACGTAGCCAATGAATTAGTTGTAAGTATGAACTAATTGTAAGCTCAAATGTTAGATAAAACTCACTTTCAATCAAATGATTATATTAAATTAGATAACTAAATTAGGTTCAAGTAACGTGTTTTATATATTAAAAAAAGTTATGCAACGCAGTCTTTTTATTAATTTTTTTTTTGTTTATTCTGTCGAAAATCACTTCATTTATATTAATGAAATCTATAATATAGAACATGACAAACTTCAGTAACCTCATCCAATGATCATAAATATACTTATCTAATGACCACAAACATCTTTTTTAAAATTATTCATATTAAATTTCTCCCCCTTTAAATCCATCACTTCTTACTTACTATACATTTAGGTATGAGATACCTTTAATAGATAATAAAATCTAACGGAAGAGTCACATTATAATAAATTTAATATATGGGGTATTATGTGAGAAATTTAATCTTTTACGGTATAGAGTAACAATTGTAGAATCTTTTGAGGTTCAAAGTGCAATTCGCTATTTTGGATTTGGAAAGTTTGAACTGTACCTCAATCCCGCTCACGCTTCGGCTGTAATATAGTAACCCCCACACTCCACCGCCCCCACACGCCACACTGACTCTCTCTCTCTCTCTCTGGTAGATGCATGGTCGGGTGCAAAGAAACCTAGCTCTGCTATCTCTGGATCGCCATTAGATGGTCTAGGAGCTCTGGAAATGCAGAGTAAGTTCAGCTCTCAAGGTCTATATTTGGATATGTGTGCTTATGTGTTTGTGTGTAGATAAGCGTATTTACTACGGGTGCAATTCATACATGGAGGCTTCAGTGTGGTGCATTGCGTTTTTTGTGGTGTAGATAATGACTTGCTTTGTAATTTTTGAGCTTCGGTTTGTGAAATTTACACACAGATTTATGAGATTTACTGATATTTGGTTTTTTCCTTTGGGCTTTCTTGTACCTCGATTAGGCCTGTGTGTACTTCAAGCTCATTTGTTTCGTTTTTTTGCTACATTGTTCTGTCTTTAGTTGAGGAAATCAATGTCAGAGCATATCAATAGAGGAATTTTGGGTAAATTTTTTAGCGAAGCGTTTCAAATTTTTTTTTCTCTAAACATATTTGTGTTTGCTTTATATATTTAAGTTTTTGATGAGCAGATACATCAAAGTTTGGAAGGAACTAGGGTTAAAGAAATCTTCGTATTGTTCCTTTTTATGATGATTTCAAGACAGTTTTCTATATAACATTTGCTCATATCCATTGGGATTTTGAATTTCTATTTGTTTAGAATAATTTTGAATTGCAAAGCAAAATTTTGACCTAGAAGCGGTTTGATTTTGCTTGGTTTTGCTGGCTTCTTCTGAAATCACACTTAATTATATATAAAAAAAATATAGACCTCATTTCTCTGGACTTGATTTTAAAATTTATGTATAAGAAAAGAAGGGTAAAAGAAACATTCAGAGATAACCGAAATGCCTTTTTTTTCTCTACGTCCATCTCTCCCTGAATATATGTGCATGCACAAGCGTGTGGAGGCATATTGGTGTACCTAAACTTGTTGCTGATGTTCTCACTCTTTTACTGAAAAACTGTTGTCTGCAAATAAAATTTCATGTACAGCCTGAAGGACAAAGGAAAATGGTGGAGGGTTGGCATCATCCCCATGAATAGGTAATTTCTAAAGTGGCTAAAGTTTCCAAAGAACAGCAGAGGACTCCTTGATTTTTTTCTACCAGTTCACACTAAACCTATGAAAAATATTGCAGGACTCAATTCTCTCAAGTCTAACTACAAGAGTATGAGGGGACTGTTCCTTGCTTTTGTGAAGCTCCAGAATCACATTGGCAAAAGATGCAGGTGAGGACTTTAGATTGTGGACATGTTCTCTTCTTCAACTACATATTTATGATTTTGGTGTAATTTCTGTAATTTGTTACTTGTTGCACCCATACGTTGTACAGACATATAGTGTTATGAAATATAGAGTATCCGTCTTCTCAGGCAAAGAAAAACTCCATGGGAAGTTTAGGGCACTAGTTTATGTCGCAATCCACAACCTGTTTCCCGTAGGTTGAAAGTGTTAGATGCCTCTATAGTCAAATAAAGTGCAGCAGGGAATGGAATCTGCCTTGTTAGCACCATGGCAGGTAATTAGGGAAAGTAATAGCAGAAAACTAGATGTTTCGATTCCAAACTATTAAAATTTGCATTTTATTGCTGTTATCTGTGAACTTTTAGTATCTGCCTACATTATCATTTTTTTTGCATGTTCTCTAATCATGATGTTTAGTTCTGTAAAAAAAGAAGAAGAATTGAGCAGTTTCCAATCACATAAGCAATAGGGTATGCTGATGTGTTCAGGTATAATGTGCATCAAAAGCTTAACTTGAATTCAGCATTGAATTGTGACCACATGAAACATATTTTCTGGCTAAAATTTTGACTTGTGGACTATACCCATATTACACTAGTCAAATGATACTGCACATATAGTGTCCCCGGTTACCTCACAATTGAGTAATATGGAGTTCTTTTAGATCTTTTGTATCTATTCTATATAACCAAGGGGATGATTACATCCTCAATACATGGGGTAAAAATCACATTCCTAGTACCTTATATGCGACCATTTTCAAACACAAGATTGCCAAATATTTTTTGTTGAAGTGTTGTTTGGAACTAGGATCTTGACTTTTGACCTAACTCCTGGCTAGACTAGTTGGTAGATACTTTTTTTTTTGAAAATCGTATTGAAAATGGCTATCTAGAATTGGTCGTCAATAAAGAGGGTGATCAATGTGGGAGCTCCATAGGAGTGACGTAAGATCAATACAATAATGAAATGTTTGCAGGTTGTCGTGCAATGATGCACATAAATCCAAAAAAAAGAGAGTATTTATGAGCCTCCTGGAAACTGGCCATTGTTTATGGTACAAAATGTTCAGAGTAATAGACAATATTGAGAGGTAAGTGTTATTAGCAATGAGTTACAAATCAAGAAAGATTAAGTTCATGTGAAACAAGCACATAGGAAATATAGTAATTGAGGAAAAGAGAGAAAAATCATACATTGTTCCCTTGAAGTCGTTGAATTTTATAATTGATGTCGCTGCATTTTCGGAATTATAGAGGTCTTGTTCATGATACCCTTGCAATGATCAGTTACAATGTTTCTATTGCATACATTTTCCCCTCTGAGAAGTCATGCTTCCAGAGACTATTAACAATGAATCAGTCTCATAGATCTTAAAGCTTGACTGGCAGTGGTAGATTGTGATGCTGTCCTCCATTTCAGACTTGTCTTCGGTGCTAGTATAATAGATTGTCTTGCTCCTTAAATGAGTTTTCTGTCTCTTTCCTCACTATTTGCTCTATACAAAAATCTCCTGTTTGGTTTGCGAGTTGTTTTTTTTTTTTCTCTGATATAAGATCCCCGGGTAATAAATTTCAGATGCTCTATATGACATAGGCCATGATTTGCTTCATTGGGAGCTCACCAAGTAATCAATTTGATATGCTTTTGTTGACTAACTTTTAGATGCACTCATTCTGGGATTGTATCATGGCTCATCTATTAACTCATTACCTTCATGTTACTTTATTTGTTTTTCTTAGGAACTTTGACACATGTCTTTGGACTATTTCTCTCCTTTCTCTTCAGTCCAGTTAACGGCATTTCTAGGACAGTTGCAGGATTGAAGCTAGCATGGTTCATCCAAGGATAGAGACAAAATGACATTTTAACTTAAAACACTGTGTTACGCTGCATAGAGCAAAATGGGGAAAAGGATTTGTGCAACCTACATCTGAAAGTTTTGTTGAATTGAATCTCATTGTTCTTCGGTAGGACTTTACAATGTATTATTTGCTAAACATGGGTGTCTATTGCTTGTTGCCATAACGAAGTTACTTAATTGCAGCTGATGAAACGCGTATCAATTTAAAACCATGCATCACTATTCTACAAGGAGTGTAAATAAGAAGAAAGAAAATGGAACTAATGCTACATTCCAACAGCCCACTGTGCGAATCACACGAACACATGCCAAAGCCCTAGGCTCATCAGGAGGGTTACCCCCACTAATCCCTTCTGCAAAGCAGGATCAGAAGCGAGTCTTTCGACCAAATTCCAAAAGAGCAGCATTAGACGAGAACAAAGCTGCGGTCAATGTCACAGCTGGTCTTCAGCATAAGAAAAGGGCTGTTCTTAAGGATGTCACTAATGTCTTCTGTGAGAATTCCTACGTAAACTTCAGTAATGCAACCAAAATTCAGGTAAGGTCATCTTCATTTGACTGTTAATGTGATGTTTGATTCTCGGATTCTGATAGCAAAATCATCCCCTTAACATCGTACTCATAGTCTGTTGATGTTGCTGCTATCAGCCTAGCAAGCAGTCTAAGAAAAGTACTGCGAAGAATAAAGCAAAGGTGGTGCCAGTTGTTTCTTTGGTAAATACTCAGAACGCAAAAACAACTGGAGAAATAACCAAACCAAAGGTGGAGGATTTGCTAGGAATTAGTCCACCTGAAAACTTGAATGAAGATTTGATGATTCAACATGGTAAATGCATGAGCATACGTGCAGGTGGTGCAGCAGATCTGATGCATGTAAAGCAAACTTCCAGTAGACGTGTTCTACTCCAAAGCCCATCACAGAAAGGTTAAATGTTTTGTATCAGCTTTTCCGCAGGGTCACAACACATGAAGATATGGCTTGGTTCTGTTTTGTTAGGCGCATGAATTAGATGTTTACTTCCTAAGTGCTAATATAATGACTCATAAGGACATTGTAAGCCTCCAGCAAACCAGCAAACTATGCTACTTTGCATGTACAGTTAAAAGTTAGTAGAAAAAGTTTTGGACTTACTAACACATTAGTAAGGGGCACAAGTACAAATTTAGTATGGTGCCCTCCAAAGTCAACGTGCATCTAACTTTCAAATTGACCTTAAATAATTTCAAATGTTTTAGTATCATGAATTGCTGAACATTTTTCTTGTATTAGAGTTTAGGTATGATGGTTGTATCTCCAAAAGTCAAGTAACAAGCACTGTTTAGGAACATGCATTTTGTGACATCTAGTAAAGTTCTTCCTGTTGGAACACTACTACGTCTAAAACTCGTATGCAAAGCCAGAATGTTTTAGACTACAAATATAATTCTTGGACATAGTTTCAAAGTCATGGCAGCAATAGGTTCCTGGATTTTAACCTTTGTGTTGGTGTTATCAACAAGCTTGCAGCACAAGCAACCTGAAAGGTTGTAGACTGCTCAAGTAACCAAATGTTAGATTCAGGTCTTAAATGTGCATTCGGCAACTTGTAACTAACTTATTTTTTCATTTTTGCTTTGTTAATTGGCTGAACATTCTGTTTGATACAATCCTTTGATAGGACAAGCCAAAACCTTTGGTCATGCATCATGCTTCTTCGGTATTGTATTGAAATCCATTGTAGGAACTGATTTTGTATGCATGATATTATGAAAATAGAATTATATCATAAGGTTAAAGGAAGAATAATGGAAATTAATTTGCTCGACTCTTGATATATTCTTGGAATAAAGTTCTCTTCCACTGATTTTTAGCCAGATTTGGTTGTATTATGCAGAAGGCGGCAAGAGTTGCAAGAAATTGGAAGCTTTGCATGGTCTAGGTATTGCAGATATAGATTTGAACCTCAAGGATCCACTAATGTGCAGCCTGTATGCCCCTGATATATACACTAATTTACGTGTTACGGAGGTCTGTATATAGCTGCCTACCTACTGCTATTTGATAATAATTGCTGCCTATGTCTTAATGACCATAATTTTGTCCATGCTCAATTGCATACCCCATTGCCTCTACCACTAACGTCTTCTGGACAATTATATGATAGTAAGTTCGTAGCAAGGAAATACCCCTTATGTCATTATCCAACTGGAGTCGGACAGATGAGGCTTTAGTTATTTTTTATATTTTATGAAACAATTCCAAGTGAATTTTTGTTTTTGAAAGGGAAATTTTCTGGTTCATATTCTTATTTATTTTAATTCCCTATTTCACTCAGCTTGGCCGAAGGCCCTCGGCTAATTACATGGAAATGTTGCAGCGGGATATCAGCCAGAGCATGCGTGGTATTCTGATCGATTGGCTTGTGGAGGTTAGTCTATTCAACTGACTTACATATAAATGACAACTTATTATACTGCATATGCATATCTTTATTTGGAGAGACATTTGTACTCTTCCAGAAGTGTTGCAATAGTTGAAGTAGACAAAAGTACTAACTGTGTGGACAAACATAAATTCACACTTCAGAGTATGTTTTCTCGTTAGATTAATTTCTTGGAAGCTTCATGTCATTGCCAAGCACCATCTGCAAATCTAATTTGCATTTCCTGGTTTATTTGCATATCTGCCTTAGATTAGCGATTTCAAAACCAAAAACAACTTAGGTCTCTTGTCCTTGTTTCCCATGTTGTTTAAGCAGTGAACTCCAACCTTTTGGTATCCAAGAGCTCTACATAGTCACATTGGCACTAATGCTTTTCTACAGATTTGAATAGCTGGCTATTTTATCTTCAGCCTTTCCTGTCGTTGCTCATTTACTCAAAATGTTTTTCAATTGATATCTTATGACATCAATGTTTTTGTAATATTTTTTCATGTATTATGCAAAGGCATGATAAGTCATAGAATTCATCATGCACTGTATTGGGTTGTAGTAACATATGACCTATGGTTTGGATAACTATCTGCTTCAATGCTAATTTCTAATCCATTAACTTCACAATGACAACATACTGTGGTTTTTGTAATATTTCGGCTACAATATTCAGATTTGCAGAGCTTACAGCGAAGAGTATCTTGGGTTCTCTAATGTCACCATGCATGGTAATGCTATCCATCACTTTGACTCCTCTCTTTCAGGTTTCTGAAGAGTATAAGCTGGTTCCGGACACTCTTTACCTGGCAGTAAATCTCATTGATCGATTCCTCTCTGAAAATTATATTGAAAAACAAAAACTGCAGCTGCTTGGCGTGACATGCATGCTAATTTCCTCGTAAGTTCTTGTGGGTGTATGTGCATTACTTTTCTTTCACTTTGAAGTACCATCAGAATAGTTTTGTTATTTGATAAAAGTCCTGAATAGGTGACCTTACTTTTGGAAGCAACATACTTCTTTATCACTGATCGATTATAGGATGGTTGGCTATTATTTGAGTTTTAACTTTTTTTAGTTCACAATTGCAACGGAGATTCAATAGAAAAGTTTTGAAATATCAGCTACTTGGTAGATGAAAGAGACTCTCTCTATCTCTTTCTCAAGCTTGTGTGCATGCAAACATGTTTATGCAAGCTTGAATTCTCACGTGCTCACTGAAAACCAAAATGAAAAATAGAATTGAGAAACAAAAAAAATCCAGCGCGTGTTTCTGGAGAAGAAAAATCAGTTCATAACTCTCTCATATTGCTCTTGATTCAGAAAATGAGCTTAATTTATTTGTGGTAAATATGACACTACGCTCTTGCATATACATCTGGCGATTCTAGTTTTTTATGTAGTACTAAAACCTTCATGTTTTGCCCCTTATATGTTCATGGCTTCAAGGAAGTATGAAGAAATTTGTGCACCCGGTGTGGAGGAGTTTTGCTTCATAACGGACAACACCTACACAAAGGAAGAGGTATCTTCTTAGCTACTCCTGAAGCTAAATACCTCCATGTGAATAGTTCAATTAAAATTAATGAAAGAAAAAATAGGACTCCTTAAAAGATGTGTGTATTTCGAAAGAGCAGCAATACTAAATATGAAGGGAGGAAAGTAATTCTACTGCATCTCATTCAGTTCAAGTCATCTTTCAAGTTCCAAGTATATTCAAGCTTCACTTCAATCTACTCCTTGTATCACTGAGTGCTTTGGTGCTTAAATCATTCTACACATAAGAATTGCCTAAATGCTGGCTGAAATATTAAATTCATTTTTTAACATACTCTGATTCCCTTAACCCAACCCTCTGTAAGTATTCAAAATTCTTTTTGAGAACCCATTTTATGGCCAATAATTCTCTGAACTCAGGCTTCATATATGCCCCCGACTATCTTTTGATGCCTTCATCTTCAAGGTCCTGCCAATTTCTATACATCTTGGGTTCATTTGATTTTGTTTGTGGCCATATATTCGGTCAAGTCATGGACTTCATGTTGGTCCAGATTGCTGTGATGGTCTTCATCTTCAAAGTCTAGCCAATCTTGGTACGTCTTGGTTGGCTCATGTTGTTCTTATTGGTTTTGGCTTCAGTGTTTCCACTGTCAAATTTCACCGGCAAGTCATTATTACCACTGAAATAGTTACTATGCATAGGGTATGGGTATTCATGACTAAGGTTCCGTGGCAGGTTTTGAAAATGGAAAGTCGGGTTTTGAATTTGTTGGGATTTCAATTGTCTGTTCCGACCACAAAGAAATTTCTTAGGTATTGTTCACACTACTGTCTGTAATTTTCTTTCTTGGTACAATGCCAACTAACTGAGTCCATCAGAGCTACTAATTTCATTTTTTTCCTGGTACTGGTTTTCAGGAGATTCATTCATGCAGCACAAGTTTCTTCCAAGGTAAGCTAGATGCTGTTTATTTCCCTATCTCACTAGAACATAACAAATTCTCATGAAAAAAAGCTACATTTGTGCAATATATTACTTTGATATGCAGGTTCCTTGTGTTGAACTGGAATTCTTGGCAAACTATTTAGCAGAATTAGCTCTTATGGAGTACAGTTTTTTGAAGTTTCTTCCATCCCTCATTGCTGCATCTGCTGTATTCTTAGCAAGATGGACACTTGATCAGTCAGAATACCCATGGGTCTGCATTTTTTGTCCCTGTTCATTCTATTTAACTTCCTTTTTTGTTTTTTCCATTCAAGGAAAATGAATATGCACAAACTTATTGCAGAATCCAACTCTACAATATTATACTAGTCACGAGGCGTCAGAGCTAAAAGTGACGGTTCTTGCATTGCAAGGTCTGCAACTGAACATTAATGGATGCTCCCTTAACGCTATAAGAGAGAAGTATAAGCAACAAAAGGTAACGGACTATGTGAAAACTTGTCTTTAGTCACTTGTTGTTACTCTGGCAAGAGCAGACACAAAAAAGTAATAAATTTATTTGCATCATTGGTGTTGCACTTTTGTAAATAGATATGTCTCAGTTGAAAACCTCTTAATTCCTGTTTTAGTATAATAAGTTGGATAGCACAAGCCTGAACAACTTCTTCAGGTTGGGAAGAGTTAACCAAATGTGCAATTCATGACCTTCTGGTAGTGCTTATGTCCTGTTTCATTTTAAAGTTTTGTGGGTAATCTCATGAATCTGAGGTTTGCGTTGCAATCACAAGTCAAAGAGCTTGTGGTTGGAACCTAGAACGATTTTCCGTTAACTAAATTTTTTTTACCAATAGTTGGGTTTGGTCATGTGTACTGATGAAATTCATTTACGATGACAGTTCAAGTGTGTGACAACTTTATCTTCACCAAAACCTGTTCAGTCACTGTTCTGAAGATTTATGAGTAGTCGATTCCTCCTGGCATCAGATGAAATATTTATCAACAGTTGGAACTCCTCTTCATGTGATGTGACTTCTGAGGATGCAGTGCGCTGTTCTCAACCCCAAAAACCTGCCAATTTCCAATTTATAATTATTCTTCTCACTTTTTCTTTTCTTTGCAACCCTATCGTTGTTGTATCGTTGTATCTGATTCTAATGCTACCTGACCTGTTTTTTGTAGCATGAAAATGTGAAAGCAAGGATGATTTGAAGCAGAAAGTTACTAACATTAAAACACCTTTTGGCATAGTTTGTAAAACTTCCTAGCTCTGGAAATTAACTTAACAAAACTCAAGAAATTCTTGCAGTGAGGCTGCTGTAGCTGTTTGATTATATGCCATTCTATTTTGTCGTCTACAAAATAAATATCACTTCACTTTATTTCGAGCTGATTTGTTTGAGTTAATATCTTTGTTCATTCATGTTTTAAACTTTTAACAGAATCTGGTTGCAGTTGAAACAATATGTGTAGGAGAGAAGACACAGTAAGATTAATTATAAATTTTCTTGTTCTTGCAACAAGAAGCACCAATATTTTTGGTACTTTATTCAATTCTCCATGGAAATGGAGTTTTGTGAATTCTCCCCGAGATGGGAAGAACATTTTAGAGAGGTTTGCATTATGAAGGGTTGTAACGTGAGTCATTTTTTTTAAATTGTGTACACAAATTGATATTATCCAAGGGTCGTGTTTTTAAAGTGTAATTTATCAATTTCTTATTTTTGTGAATAGTGTGCCTGTATTGATTGGTATCTTGTGTTATATGTTGCTTTCAAGTGTATTTTTTTTTTCTTCATAGTACCTTTAAGTATGAACAATAATTAGTTTATGTACTAACTTATGTTGAATATGAATCGACTTGACGAGGGACTTTTGGTTTTGGTGAAGAAATTAGTTAGTTGGTCTTCACTGCTAATATAGAGTAGTTCAAGATCTTTGTGAGTAACTCTTTCATGAACAAAATGATAGTCGACTTCTATATGTTTGGTACGGGTGTGGAACACTGGTTTAGAAGCTAGAACAAGAGCAGAGATGTTATCACACCAAATAAAGAGCTTAGGTTAGTCTACCTAAGAATGAGTAGTGGCGAACTTTAATTGAAATAGGGGCAGAGCTTTTTATAAAGAGTTACATCGGCAATAATCCAGCAAAAGGGGGATTATTCAGGGCAGGCTCAATGGATAACGGAGATGGAATAGCGTCTGTTGATTGGGATGTGAAAGAAATCAAACCTGTAGTAGAACGTCTGTTGATTGGTCACCAGCCCAATCTGTTTCAGTGTAGGCAGATATGGAGAGAGAGTGAGGTGTGTTTTTGGGAAAGAGATAATGAAGACCATAAGATGTTGTCCCTTTGAGGAATCGAAGGATTCTCTTCACAGCAGGACGGTGACCATCAAGTAGACAGTGCATGAATTGACAGACAGTATTGACGAAAAAATGAAGGTCTGGTCTGATAAATATTGAGTATTGAAGAGCTCCAACAATAGACCAATAGGGGGTAGGATTAGAGAGAAGTGTACCCTCCTCTTTGGAGAGTTTAAGAGAACGGGAAGAATGTGTTTTGCAAGGATTGCAAATGATCATGTAGACATTTTGCAAAAGATCAGTAGCAAATTTTTGTTGATTAATAAGAAGACCAGTTGGGGTGTACTTTTTTTTTTTTAAGACCTTCCAAAATTACCCAGATCTGATCCATAACCTTCTGATACTTCCAAGGAACTCCAACTTTCCTTTCCTCCATATCCACTAACGCTTGGGAATCAGATTCAATGAGAATCCGATACCCTTCCAAACTATGCCTTAAAATCATCTTCAACCCATCAAGCAAAGCATAACACTCTGCCTGCATATTTGACCCCATACCAAAAAAGGCTGCAGCAGGAAACACCACATGCCATTCCTGATTTCTAAGAACCATCACTCTACCCACTTGAACCCTTGGACGCTCCATCAACATTGAGCTTTAACACCCCTACAGGAGGGACCTCCCATCTACCCCACAGAGCTTTAGTCTCCACAACAAAGTTGGGCACAATTTGGAGATCAGAAAGCAATTCCTTACCCCTAGCATCATCAGCTCTCTTGGGCCTTACAACAAAGGCCTGCAACTTAAGAGAACTGACTATCTGCATAAACACAGCATATGAAGACAACCTAACTCCTTCGAACCTTCTCCTACACCTCTCTTTCTACAAAGCCCAAAAAATCAGCAGAGAAACCCCTCTCACCAAACCATTGCTCAAGGATTTTAATCTAAAAATTCTCCTAAGTCTTAAAAACCCGAAACCCCATCAAACCAGCAATCTTCCCCCAGACTGACTGAGCAAAAGCACAATTAACAAAAAGATGAGAACAACTCTCCTCCTCTTGAAAACACCTGCTCACCAAAGGAATCCCCAGAGACTTAACCCTTTCATCACTTGTCAGGGCATTTCTAAAAAATTTCCATCTACACAGCAGAGCACTTGGGGATACCGGCTGCCTCCAAATTTGCTTAGCAACCAAACACTGCACCCTTTGCTGCATAACCAAAAACCAAGCAGACTTAACAGAAAATACTCCTGAGCTAATAGGCTTCCAAATTCTTTTATCCACCTGATCTGACAAGGAGACACCAGACAGTAATACCTCAGACTGTAACTGGGAACCCAATAACTTAAAGACACATTATCCAAATGCCACTGCCCATCCACCCATAACTCGGCCACTTTAGGAAAATCATGAGGGATAATATCAATTCTCAGCAATAAAGGACCAGACTCCAACCAAGAGTCACACCAAAAGTCCACACACTGCCCATTCCCAATAATCACCAAAGAATTAGACACCACAAACTCAAACCAGGGCTTTAAAAATTTAGAACTTCTGACCCCCCCCCAAGATCACCACAGCTTAACAAATGCTTTCCTCTCAAAAACTTATTCCTAAACACCTTCGCCCATAGAGAAGAACCATTCAAGATATTCCAAACCTGCTTAACTCTGAAAGCAGCCTGAATATCCTCAAACCTCCTTATACCTAAGCCCCCTTCAGCCTTTGGTTTAGACAACTGATTCAATGCCTCATTCTTTCATCTACCTTGCTGGACCAAATAAACACAGCAATCATTGAATTCAGTCTCCCTAATACACCTTTAGGAATATTCATACAGGCCAACACATGAATGGGAATGGCATTTAAAACAGACTGGACCAGCACCACTCTCTCCATACCAGTCAACAGTTTAGCATACCAGCCCTCAAATTTACTTGGGGGTGTCAATCGTGTCGGGTTAAATGATTACGTGTAAGCTACACGAAGGAGTCCACTACCTCTTTTATACTAAAGCTCCCTCTCCACTCCCTTGTGTGCTGTGTCGATGTGGAATTCAAAGAAAAGGTCATTTAATGCCTCAAATGCTCAAAACTCCTTTTCTTTGAATCCCACGTCGACACAGCACACAAGGGAGTGGAGAGAGCTTTAGTATAAGAGAGGCACTGGGCTCCTCTTTGTAGCTTACCTTTGTGCTTTGGCTTATATCAGGGATATATATATGTATGTAATAATTATTAATTTATTATTATATTAAATTTATTTAAACGGGTGATAAACGGGTTGACAGGATTCATTCAAACACGATCCATTTATTAAACGTGTTTGACGAGTTAACTTGTTTATCACTCAAACCCGTTTAATTCGTGTCGGTTAATCATGTCGTGTCGAATTTTGATAGGCTTAATTTTTACCCCTAAAGCTCCTAACCACTCCCTCAAAGAAGCAATTCTTAACTCTCCCTCTAACAATGGGACATCCAAGACAAGTAAAAGGGCAGGATTTTAGAGGGATACCTACCAAAGAAGACAGCACATTTTTCCTAGAAGAGAAATCTT